GGAGGGGCTGCCTGAGGGCAGGGAGAGAGGTGTCACAGCAAGGATCCCACGGGCCTGGGCCCCGGGCTTCAGGGGAGCCAGGCCCAGTGGGAGACACATCAAGTCTCACCAGTTCCTCAAAAACATACGCCCCACATCCTCCACCCCATCCTGACACCCCATCCCCAACACAGCCCTCCCCAGCAGCTCTCGCCCCTTGCAGGGCCGGGAAGGGGGCCTTGGGCTTGCAGGCAGGCTGCTACCCTCCCTCTTTGGTGGGGAGGGTAAGTTGCAGCGAGGGACCGTCTGGTGGGACTCCTCTCCCAGTTTGCACAAGAAGCATCAACAGGGCTCAGCTCTGGCCCTTGGCACATACCAGTGAAGAAGATGTAGTCAAACTTGTTCTCCAGCAGTTTGGTGGTTTCCTCCACACCGGCAGTCACCACAGCAAAGCAGTCCTGCAGTGTAAGAGGAAGGGTCCCAACCCCTCTGTGAGCACCTGCTTAGCCCACTCTGCCCCCGTCCCAACAAAGAGCATCCAGGGTTGCTGGGCATGGGGACGTTGGCTGAGAGTGGAGGAAGTGGGCATGAGCAGTGCCTGGGAACAGGAGGCAGCTACGGTGCCGGTACGTGCAAGGCAGGCACAGGGCCTGCCATGCACAGGGCACAGCTCAACTTGCAGGGCTTGGGAACGCCATGGCACAGGGACAGGGACAGGGACAGAGACAGAGACAAGGACAGGGAGTGCTTCTTACATTGTCCAGGTAGCAGGGCAGGGCTTCAGCCACCAGTCTCTCGATGTTCTTGGTCGTCTCCGAGGGTTTGACAATGACACAGTTACCTGGGGGGAGGCAAGCAGGACATCAGAGCAGCGACACACTCACAGACACTAGCCCAGAGTGGAGACGAGCCACCCAGACAGACCCCCTCCCCGATGCCTGGCACTGCCACCACCATGGGCTGGATCCTCCAGGCCAGAGGAAGGCTTTGGCTCTGGCGCAGCTCACTCACCAGCGGCGATGGCCCCGATGAGGGGCACAAAGAAGAGGTGGATGGGGTAATTCCAGGGGGCGATGATGAGCACCACCCCATAGGGGTCC